CAGACAGACAGACAGACAGACAGACAGACAGACAGACAGACAGACAGGCATGTGATTGCTTAAAAGGGGTTTTCTTTTAAACCTAGACTCATCTAATCTTATGGTCTTATCTTTGCGGATTAATTTTTATCTACTTCACATTGATGAAAACCTTAAAACTAAGTTACTCAAAGTATCCAAGTAAAACATATCAATTGCATTTTTCTTAATGTCTTGAGGACTGGGACTACGTGCACAGTACAAACAGCACTGTCGATTCACCCTTATTTTGCCATCAGCTTTTCAATTCTCAACAGAACCTGAAACTTACCATAATCAGCAAACCAACTTCCCATGAATTTAGTAGATGCAGCTTGATTTTTTAACAGTCATATTTATTTATAGTAAATTAGACAAGCAGCTGCATTATTGGCACCAAAGATCTTTTGCATTCAAGTGTAAAGTTCCACTCTAAACTAGTGAACAAATAAACATAACATTAAGTGTCCTTAGTAACAAGCTGTTTTTCCCTCATAAATTTAAAAGGCTGATAACCAAGTAACAGCAACCTTTCACCACATTGTGTGTGTAAAGCCTGTAAGAAGGAATGGGTATCTAATACATTTCTTTAGTCATCTTTGGAATAAGTGCAAATCTTATTTTTTGCACTTACAGTCTGATAGTCATGCTAGGAATTTTCCAGATGAAAAAGATTTTCCATAGTCATAGTTTTAGAAGATCATAGTTTAAGAAGAAGTCTTGAATTAGATTGGACTATAATTGGACTCTTTCAAATGCCTTGGTTTGGCTTTTGTCAAGTGACACTATATAAATAGACATGTGTAGAGATAAATGTATGTCTCTTCTGTTTTCCAGATTGAATGATACAATGTAAATATTTCGGCAGACCAATGCACATTCCTCAAAAACATTTAAGTAAAAAGTACACAATGTTTTATTTTTAATCACTGTACACTTGAAATTAATTGGAAAATCACAAAACCAAAACATCTGACTTTCTATTTTTAGAAAACTAGCATTCTGACACTTTGGGGTAGATACTTTGTGTCTCAAAGTGTCCTGCTATCTGTCCAAGAAAAACACAGCAGCCACAAGATAACATTGGAGGCATCTAACAGCCCTGGACAACATGGCTTTGAAAATCCAGCAGCAAAGTTCTCACATCCTCACAGGACTAAAACTAACTTGACAAAAGGTCAGATTTACAGCTGTGTGGAAAAACAAATCACATCTGTTTTTTATCTAAACACTGTAGAAGCATGGTTAGATTTTCCATGCAATGTGGCAAACGATGCTAAGCGTAAAAGCGCAAAAATATTACCAAGAACCTGATCAGAAAAAGGATTTTGGTACCAGAAAAAATATTTGGACAAATAAAGAAGTCTATAATCACTTTTCTTTTTAAAATAAGCTTTATCCTGAAATTCTGAGTACTTCTGAAAACTGTTGCAAAGAAAATGCAGATGGGTTTTTGTTCAACCTTGGCAAGAAAACAATCTTTAGCCCAAACCTCTGCAAGGGTGTGTTACAAGGCTATGGTCTGCCTGGAGCAGGCCCAATCCCCACTTCTGCGCGTCGCCCAGAGTGGAGCCCCCCCCCCACCCCCATGCAAACATGGCTGTGACAGCTCTACCTCTCTGCCAAATGAGCTAAACAGGTTATTTACTCACTTTGACACTCAGAATACCACACCAACACAAAAGTCTCCCTCTCCTCCAGGTGACCACGTGTTTACACTGACAACAGACAGTGTCAGAAAAACACACAGCAGGATCAACACTCACAAAGCTGTTTCTGCCACATGCCTGGCCACATACAGAAGGACTGCACTGGGGAACTCGCAGATGTATTCAGAGCAACACCTTGCCGAATCCGACAGTTGTCTCTACATGCCTCAAATTCACCAAAGAAGTCCTCACCTCTAGCTTTGGTGACTACCCTCCAGTTGCACTCACCCCAACTCTCATGAAGTGACTCGAGCGGTCAATTATTGAGCACCTCAAGTCTGTTTTCCCCCCCTTCTTGCACCCGTTCTAGTTTGCATTCCGGTCCAATCTCTCGACCGTGGATGCCATCGTAACTACCCTCCACTCAGCCCTTACAGATCTGGGCAATTAAATTTTATTAAATTTAATTTTATTTACATAGCGCCAAATCACAACAACAGTAATCTCATAGCTCTTTCCAAGCAGAGCAAGTCAGACCCAACTCTGAAGTTATTTACAGAAGCCTAACAATTCCCAAAAAATGACTCCAATGTCAGAATGCTGATCGTTTACTTCAGTTCAGCATTCAACACGATCATCCCCCAACAGCTGATCATCAACCTGAAGTGGCTGGGACTAAATACTTTCCGGTGTAACTGCCCGCTAGACTTGCTGAGAGGGAGATGACAGGCATTGGTGGTCATCAGCAGCACATTCCGCGCCTTCTCCCTGAACAAGCGGGCCCCCAAGAGATGTGTGCTGAGCTCTCTTCTCTTCACTCTGGTGACCAACGATTATGCAACCCGAACCTCCTAAACAAGTTTGCAAACGACAACCATTGTGGGTCTCAACAGCAACAACTTTGTGACAAACTACAGTGAGATGAGGCATCTGACCAACTGACGCTTGTACAATATCTCTGCTTGAGTGTGGAGAACACAAAACAGATTCTTATGGGCTATAGAAGACCGCACAACCAACATTACCTCTGACCATCAGTGGTGCTGCTGTGGAGAGGGTGAGCAGCATTAAGTTCTTGGGTTCTTGGGTGTCAGAGGATTGGGAATTGTTGGGTAACTTCAGAGTACGGTCTGGCCTGCTCTTTTTGGAAAGTGCTGTGAGATTACTGTTTTGATTTGGCAGTATATTAACAAAATATAATTTTATTGAAATTGAGGATCTCACCTGGACCAACACCTCTTCACTGGCCAAGAGGGATCATTAACGTCTTCACTTCCACTACAAACAAAGAGCTGGAGCCCCACCCCTATCATGTACACCTTCTACAGCAGGACAATCAAGAGCACCCTATAAAACTGCAATACCTCCAAACCTAATCCACTGCATTTCAACGTTTATATTTACTGCTTACCGTTTTTCTAAACTTGGTAAGGATTGTATTTATATTTTTCACCTACATACTTCTTTAAAATACTTTAATGCCCTGTTATATATACTTTTTTTAACTTTTGATTTTTTTTTTGTACTGTTCGCTTTATTTTGTGTTGTCTGGGAGATGAATCACATAGGTTCAATTACTCAGTATGGCTGCTTATGTATTGCACAATTGACCAAAAAGCTGACATCAATTTTGATTACTTACAATCAAAAAGCAGAAAAACATATGTTTGAGTTGGGATAGGCTTCCATCTAATTCCAGTATTCGGACAGAGTAAATGCTGAAAAAGAAGCTATGCAAACTTCAAGACTACATTTGTTATCTAATTGTGCCATACAGGATTTAAATGGTCTTATTTTAAGATTGTAATTACAGACAGTATTTTACTTATATTCAGTAAACACTAGTGTTTCAAGGGTTTAGATATAAGGCCTTTTTTATTTTCGAAGGAGTTTTATCAGTCAACAAAAATAGCACTTTTTAAAAACAGAACTGAGGCACAAAGAGCTGTGTTAAGATTTCGGTTCTGCAAAAATACTATACTCCAATACCAATGTAACATTGGTAAACATAAACGGTTTGTACTGAATACCAGACAACAAACCAGTGCAAACGGAGTCTTTTAAAAACATCAATACGCACATCAATTTGTTGTGTGAAAGGGTGCAGACTGATCTATCAGTATCTATCTATCCAAACCGAAACATCAGGTTACAAACAACAGCAACATTATCAGGAACTCGGTCAGCTATTTAGAGACGGATAGAGGGGTCAACGAGCAACAAAGAAAAACATTTAAATGTAAAATGTTAACTCAGAAAAAGTATTTTGTCTCCTATATAGATTGCAACCAGGTAGAGGTGATACACTTACGGCTCTCTAAGAGAGAGCACAAGCAGCTCCATGACACCGTTGAGGAACCTGCAGAGCAACAAAACAAACCTAGCTGTCTAGTTTGCTAGCTAGCAACGGGGGGGGGGGGGGGG